TGTAGCCCACCGAAAGACTTATGCTCAAATAAAATAAGTTAGTCTCTAAGGTGCCACAAGTACTCCTGTTTGTTGTGTGTGTGTGTGTGTGTGTGGTTGTCACAAAACATCAGCCTATGGAATCTAGTTGACAGCGATCATTGGGATCAACAGAGGAGAGCAGATTTGGGAGTGATTTGTTTTGGGAGCATTGGGTGAAATTTGCGAAAAGGGGGCTTTGAGATCCTTGAATGAAAGACTACAGATGACCAAAGTGAGACCCTTAATTTTTGTCATTACTCTCCAGAAAAATTAAATCTTCTATTATGCCGCTGGCAGAAATATGGAGTTTGAATGCCATTGAACTTAAGTAGACTGATATTTGGAGTGAAAATTCCACGAGCAAACTCAAGACAACTGGGTAGATCTTTTTCATGCCAAACTCCTTTTGTGATTATTAAATACACCTCTACCTCGATATAACGCTGTCCTCGGGAGCCAAAAAATCTTACCCTGTTATAGGTGAAACCGCGATATATCGAACTTGCTTTGATCCGCCGGAGCACGCAGCCCCGCCCGCCTCCCCCGGAGCACTGCTTTACCACGTTATATCCGAATTCGTGTTATATTGGGTCGCGTTATATCAGGGTAGAGGTGTATATGAAGAGGCTGCAGAAGAACGAGGTTGAAATGTTGTGGTTTGCCCTGAATTGCCTCGCTGTTCTGTGAAGAAATAACTTTCCCTTCTGAACACTGTTTTACAATGAAATTTTTCCTGACCCTGAGATCAGGGAAAGGGGGGTGGCCTGTTTGAATTGTCATCCCAGTTTTACTCTGCGGACAGTTGGTTTACAGAAGGCCATGTCTCAGAACTGATTAGCTGCTTGAGGACTGGAGAATGGATCCTGAATCTTCAAATTTGTTAGTCTCCAAGGTGCCACAAGTACTCCTGTTCTTTTTGAATCTTCAAAGTAATCCTCAGTGTAGTTTGAGAGTAGCAGCCGTGTGAGTCTGTATCCACAGAAAGAACAGGAGGACTTGTGGCACCTTAGAGACTAACACATTTATTGGAGCATAAGCTTTCGTGGGCTACAGCCCACTTCTTCGGATGCCTCAATGTAGTGACAGCCTTGCAAGGACTTGGGTGCCCGGGCTTGTGAACAGCTGCGCTGATGGGTGTTTAAGGTTTAGTTAAATTTTTGATCATGCATAACTCTTCTCATTAGCAGATTTCAAAGTGCTTTGCAAAGGAGGTCGGTATCGTTGTCCCAGTCTTACAAATGGGGAACTGAGGGGTGAAGTGACTTGCCTAACATCACCTAGCGGGCCAGTGGAAGTACTGGGAACAGAACTCATATCCCTGGAGTGACAGTCAAATGCTGTAGCCGCTGGGGCACACTAAGAAGGCAGTTTTCCTCTTCAGTTTTTGGTAGAAGCGTGTGTGTGTGGCGGGGGGTGGGGAGGTTGTATGTGCCTCTGATATAACTTAATTTTTTATTTTGACATGATTTCAGTGAACCTTCTTTGCTGTTCTGTCTGATCACTGCAAATGTAACGCATGTTGACTTTGTGTACGCGAGAGAAACTTACAAAGGGTTTCCTACTGGTTTAGTTGAGCTGGTGGAGAGCCATAGTGTGGACAGGGTTCTGGAGGTCACACCTGGTTTTTTGGTGTGTTGTGGTGTGGTTTTTTGTTTTTGTTTTGAATAACATTTAATTAGATAGGTTTCAGAGTAGCAGCTGTGTAAGTCTGTATCCGCAAAAAGAACAGGAGGACTTGTGGCACCTTAGAGACTAACACATTTATTAGAGCATAAGCTTTCGTGGACTACAGCCCACTTCATCAACATTTTATTTAATTAGACAGACTTCTCCGCAGGTTTAACTAAAACCGGCTCTGGCCGCTTTGTCTTCTCTGAGGCACCTTCTGTCTATCGCTGGTTCAGCTGACCTGATATTATGTCTGGTAGGATTTCTTGGTAAGCTCAACGGGGCAGAGATTGTCGGTCTTTTTGTTCTGTGTTTGTACGGTGCCTACCGCAGTGGAGCTCTGGTCCATGATTATCTCCTAGATGTTACTACAATACAAAAAACTAATTCCCACAGCCATGAGCAGCAGCGATATAGTCAGGAAAAAGAACAGGAGTACTTGTGGCACCTTAGAGACTAACAAATTTATTAGAGCATAAGCTTTCGTGGACTACAGCCCACTTCTGAAATATAGTCAGGGTAAACTGAGTTTACCTACTTCTCACAGGGGGAGCATGAGGTTTAGTGTAGGTTAGGTTTCAGAGTAGCAGCCGTGTTAGTCTGTATCCGCAAAAAGAACAGGAGTCCTTGTGGTGTAGGTTAGCTTACCCACTTTTGGGGTTTTTTTGGACTACTACACCATTGAGCGCCGATGTTCTTTTCAGAAAACAGAATGTGTTTAAAAGCAAAGGTAAACGTTGCAAATTGCGTGAAGTGGTGTGGGGTTTTTTTTGTTTGTTTTTTTTAAGGCGTTGGGGGAAGAGAGAACTTACTCCGACCAGTGTGTCCAAATCAGGATAATGCAGATCTGGTTTTGGAGTTGTTTTTTGAGCTTCATGTTGATCTGTTTATAATTTGTCCATACTTATAGCAGAAAACTTACCTACCAGTGTATAAAACCCCAAAGCAGCCTGTTTCCAGGCATATCTGAACCAAGTTTTTTGTCAACCCCCTGTTTTTCTTGCAATCAAACTCTCTCCCTCTTGATTTTAGTATTTTTAGGTGAAGGTGGTGGTAAACTCTTAGCCAGGGCAAAACTCTTAACTCTTGGGTGTATGCTGGCAGGAAGGAGTGCACTGGCTGGTGTGATATTTATCCAGGGCTGCTAAA